AAGTCGCCTAGATTAAATCTTTAATTAACAGGAACAAGCCAGCTAAGGGATTCACTGAGGGAGCCCCCTATATGGCGTGTACCGAGACAACTTAATTTTTTAATTAATCTAAATGCATGGCTTGCTGTCTAATTAACTATGATCGTCCTTGTACACTGCCTGGACTATTTACAGTTCTATTTTATCACGGAAGGAAGGTTACGGATGTCAAGGATTCTTGCCAAAGTTTGAAATCAAATCAACTCCACTGACGCACTGATAGATCAGTCTCTTAATTAGCGACCAGAGATCTCTGCTTCTCCAGGGGACCAATCGCATTCTAGTGAAAGTTGGTTTATAATTAGACTGTTAACTGAAACCCTGTCATCAAACCAGATCTACAGCCGGAGATCTGGACCGCACATGCTCTGTTAGATTAATTGACTAACTCCATACAGAAGATTAATTAGCGAGAAGCTAACGGTCACTCAGATAGGCAAGAAATATTAAGCCTTTTATGTAACCTGAAGACACATCATCGGCCCCTGACCTGAGCCAGATGAATCCACTCCATAACCTCCACTCTATTTCCCTAACATATTCGATCTCTTACCTTCACGTTTTGCGACCACGATTTTATGCTAATTAGGCGTGTTGCAATTCTGTCGAAAATTAAATTAATTTTTTTCAGCGTGACGTGCAAATAAACAGTATTTATTAAAACGTAAGGAAACATTTTTGGGGCGTGTTGTACGAACCAGAAACAACGATAAAAGTCTGTGTAAAACAGACATCTTCCGTTGTTTTTCTGCAAAAAATAAAATCCCCTAAAGAGTTATGGTGCATTTCAGAAACACCCTGTATAATTGGTGTAACGCAATATGTACTCCTAAAAGCATTTACAAAAAATATCACAGAGATTTTTCTGCCTCCAATGACCTAATTTTCAGTTTGTAACAACCTTTATAAGCGTTCTGTTAATTTTATTACAAAATTAATTTCACGAGTTAATTCAGTACGATATATGCCTCTAAAAAATAATGTCGTCAACATAGAACTGATGTAACAAAATTAAATTCTTTTAAATTGGTAGTAAAGTACTATTTCATACCGGACGGTAAGGGAGGGGTCAGAGGTACAAATATCAAACATTTCGTGTGCGAGAGTTCCATTCCTCTTAAATCCCTATTCACTTTTAATATAATGTAGCACAGAGTGACTCTCCTCTTAATTTCGGATGTATTTTATACATCACATTCCATTCAAGCACACTACAGTCCTGGGGCTAATGTTACGCACACAAAAGAATTAAAAACTTTAATGTTATTTGTATATTTTACGGTTCAGAGTTTTTTTCAATGTGAAATCAAAATAATTTTAAGGTTCCGAGTTTTTTTCAATGTGAAATCAAAATAAACTTCCCTTCCCTTGTTCGTCGATTGTGTGACATTTAATTAATCCGACAATCCTTTTTTTACCATTAACTAAAATTCAAATGACAAAGTTCTTCTTCTGAGTTTTGTCTCCGTGTAGACTCATCGACAGATACCAACATTTAGAAGGAACACGGTATCTCCATCTTCAGGGTTAAAGGATATTCAGTGCGCCAAGTCCCTGAAGAACAATTTGATTTTCTTCATCGCCGTGAACACTACAGATCTCAGAAATGTATATAAAAGAAACTGCACTGAATATAATTAATCAACTATTGTTGGCACACGTCACAATCGATTTAAAGTCGATAGTGGGCAACCCACGTGACACTGAACATAAAACAATTCGTCTTTAAACATGACAACAGTCAGCTGCAGTCTGGAGGTCAGTGAAATCGTATAACGTTATATGTTACCGTCAATGTATAGAATGCCTAAAGTTAGTAGGAAAAGTATGAAATTAATCGTAATGTTAATATCGTTTGGTTGTGTAAATTTAAATTAATTAAAGTCGATTGGATAAGCTGTCAAGATGGAGGTTGTGCATGATAGTCGCGAAAACACCAAAGCTACTGAATCTGAACATAAGAAAAATTTTGAGAATTAAAATAATTGTTTTATATTAAGTTTTTGCAAATATAAAAGATAAAATAAAACTGTATAAATCGTATTACGGAAACCTAATTCTTATATAATTTGCCTAAAGAATCAGAGGCATTTTATAAAATTAAATTCTATAGAATACCTATCCGAAGTATAAAATAAACTGTTAATTTCATGCATTGCCTAAAATTTCTGGGCATTTTATAAAATTCCGGGACATTCCATAAAATTCCTGAATTTAATATTTTGCCTACTGACTTTAGACATTCTATATATTGCCGGATTTCATGGCAACATATACACCAAATACATATAACCCAAAAAATCGGTACGTCCGACGTAACTATGATACAATTTTTGCTGTACCAATGGATTCCTCGCCTGCAAGATGTCCTGTGAAGAACGTAAACTGCAATTTATTCCTTCAGAACGAAGTAAAAACGAATCGGCTTTCATTTTAGCTGGATACCAGAACGGTCGACGAAATGCGTGCTACGTCCGCACTTCGTCTTCGCAAAAGTGACGCACAATCAGAGGAAAAGCAATAACCTAGAACATTCTCTATCGATCGAATATCCAATAAACACATGACCGAAATCCTACAGCAAAAGGAAACTTTGTACGTCCATACAAATCACGTTCAATGGTCAGGCGGCCAGCAGTCAGAATCCTCACACAAAATACAAGAGCTCATTCATGCACGCGGGGCAACCGGACAATGAATTGCCCGGTGAATTAACGAAGTAACGTAAATGCCGACAAAACGTTTTATTATAAAATGTGTACATCCCAAAAAAAGTATATTTCCTTATTTCTGTGTACAATTTAATGAAATTAAGTTGTCAAAACAGTTACAGATTAAACTATTCAAGTCACGTAAAATTAATAATTTAAATACCGACAAAAAACATAATTTTACGTTCAGCGGTGCTGAAGGTGTTAAAAAATATAAAACTCAGTGTCGGAGTTGTCGTCACAAAATGTCATCGGCAAAGTTTATTTGCATAACCCACTTACGTAAAATGCATTTAACACATCGCCCTACGCGCTCTCCTGTCACGACCGTGAAATGTTATCTTCAAACCTCTCGCATCGAATGCCCTAACCTCCTTCTTATTCATAAAAAAAATAATATCTCCCAGATATGGAGCTTTCGTCCATTCTCCGCGTGTCCTCGCCCTTCTCTTTTATGAATCCTTCGCTCTCTACCGCCGCGACGCACTTGCGAATACAAGGAAAGCGTCAAACCATCGATAACTAGTCTGAGGACCTGTTACCCGGTGGCTCACGCTCTGGCCGGTCTAATGAGGCGTAAAAGAGAACAGAAATGACTGTCATTTCCATAGAAATTGAGCGGAACCCATAAGGAAATATTAATCTCAGGTTCCTACGACCAGTCGATGTCCGGGTACCTGATGAGGTCACGGAGACCTATAAGATAAACGTAAAACAGTGAACTGCAATGAAAATTGGTTAAAGTAGAAACAGTGAACTCCAATGAAAATTTGTTAAAGTAGAGCATCTGGGAAGCATACGGCATGCACACGAAGATTTTGTGAAACCCTGAAGGAGTGTTATCAAGTGGGAGAAGTCTCCGTGTATCATATGAGAGGAGGATAATATTAAAAACACTCTTAAAAGTCTTAAGGATGTGAATTGGATTAATCTGTCTCAGGATACGATCCAGTACGGGCTCTCAGGAAGAAGGTAACAGACATTTTGGCCAGCTAAGCTACTGTTGACTATTCTTTTTCCGACGCGGCGAGATTGTGTGTCTACGAAACTGCGGTCGCTGAGGGACAAACTGTTCATCCTCCCTCCCCCCGATGACATGGAGCAGCGGTGGTAAGACGCTGACGCGGTACGTTCAGTTTGTTACTTGTAATTTTTGTGCGTAAAAAATGTCCATACAGAAAAGTACCAAGAACGTTGATCCATCATTAAATGCATGTATCAATGTATTTTCAGACCTTACCACCAGAATTCAGGGCAAACGCACAGTAAAAGATATTAAAAATCCCTTTAAAAAAGGCCAACTTCGTATATAAATAACAAAGATCATGTTAAATTCTTTCTACCATCCTGGCTAAGACCTCCAGTATTTCCACCTCCTGTGAAAGATATTTCGGGTACACATAATTTCCAGGGGTGTTTTCCATGCCATATTCTACGCCAGCGTAAATGATTTCATAATCGTCCCACCTCAGGACTTAGCGCACCCGTGACGTTTTGGATTCCCTCAGATGGCCCGACGTCCTTAACAAATTTCACGACAGTCCGCCTCGCCATTCCCAGGTTACTCCTCGCGTAAATAGGACATCATCTGGGATCATGAGTGGATGCAGCTGGCTGAGGATAGTAACCAGGCAATCATCTGGCACTATCTGTGTTGTACAATCACGTTCTGCACCAGGAAGTGGGAGATTAATTGGCTAGATTAGTAAGCTAATAACTCACCGATTTACAGTTCCCCACCTGACAGAGATTACGTAATTCGATAGTGAGAGCTCACTTTTTTGAACATCCTATACATCGGACTGCTTCTTGTATTTGATTTGAATCCCTTCGTGAAACTGTTTAGAATATAAACATCATCATAATATTTTGTTTCTTTAATTTTTTTCAAGAAATTTCCTGCAGTATCGAGTCCCTGCGTAACAAAATCTAAATATTAGCCACGCCCTCTACAACGTCTCTCCCGGAAACGCTCTGAAACTAATCACGATTTGAGTTTCCGACGACGGCAAATACGAATATGGCGTGTTCTGGGTTGCAGCAGTGACCACGCGGCGCAACTATCCAGAAGACATTCACCTTTGACCCTAAAAATTATTTACGTAAGGTACATTTTAATAATATACATCCACTTCCGTTTCATTCTCGAAACTGATCCGTTTCTATGACGACTCAGAACATAAAGTAAATGTAAACTTACGTGTTTTTACGCGCAATTACGAAACATCGCTACAATCGAAGTTTGCTTACCGAAATGAGAGGATTGCTGTCGACTTCGCTGAAGTTCACAGGTACAGTGATGGTCGGGAAGGAGAAGCAGAGGCTGTAGTTCGTCCAGGTTGTATTTTTCTCGTCTTTGAACCACTCCCCTCTCGACAGACACAGTTTCGATGCGTTCGCCTGCACAAGAAACAAAACCTTTCAAGAAAGTTGCCAAGAACGAACTAACTCCACGGAGTCGAGTCCTTCCTCAGAAGCCAACAGTCGCTCAGCCCACTCAAAAATAATTTCCCAACATTTTACCAAACCCCAAGGTTCATCGCCGTGCTCACAAGAGCCCGCCACTGGTCCCCGTCCTCAGCCACATGAAACAGAGAACCCCTTGGAAATAATGGAATTGTTTATCAAACAAACACTTTAATAAATAATTACGTAATGGCTCAATTACGAAAATTTTGTGACGATGGTGCGTTGTTGAAGCGACCTGTTTTCTGGACACTGCCCATCGTCCAAAGCTAAATAAAATAAAATACATAAAACCACGACGTTTCGGAGATGAGAGTCTATCTCCGTCTTCAGGTAAAACCTACTCTGTTGGTCCCAATCGATAGAACTAATCCGGATATAGGGATACTGGCGGGGTTGAGACGGGTTAGATGGTCCATGTTGATGAATGGTAGAAAATTCTTGTCGCGTCATTTATTTTGAGCGGTGTCACTTTACTGAGGTTAGGTTAGGTTAGGTTAGGTTAGAATTGGTAATATTAGGTTAGGATTGGTAAGGTTAGGATTGGTTAGGTCAGGATTGGTTAGGTTAGGATTGGTTAGGTTAGGATTGGTTAGGTTAGGTTCAGGTTCTTTCGGACGTTCGCCCTTTTAATCTGGTCTTCAGATTATTTGTTGTCAGTACACAGTCGGATTAGTGGCCGCGGTTGGAATCTAACCCGGTACCTTTTGAATACCAGGACCTTGAGTGAAGGCAGTGGCGTTACCTGGTGATCGAAGCCGGCGAAGTACTCGGCGCACGCCTGCTCGTGGGTCTTCCCGGCTGGAGTAGGCGGCCAGCACATGATCCCGTCCCACACTTGGGGGCAGAGCGGCCCGACCCCTGAAGTCAGAGGACAGGGCACGGTTTCAGCTTTCAGTACACGAGGTTCAGAGAGCGAGAAATTATATCGATTTAGCAATCACAATTCGCGTGGGCATTTGATTTACAACATGGCCCATCCTCACTGCCCTTTGTACTCATTTATTGCTACCAAATATGATGGTGGTAAAATTTTAATGAATGCTACATTTGATGACACGAACCCGTTCTTCCAAGATTCGCCTTTCTCGAGCAACGGGGTACAGTTTGAGTCAGGCTTATGATGAACGATAAGACGCATAACATTGAAATTTTGTCAGCTACACATGTCATAAACGCTCTGTAAGAAATGTGAATTGGTACAGACCTATGCAATGAGACAAACATAGGGAATTAACAATCTCATTATTCGTTTACTGTAAGAAAAATTAAGAAAGAAATCAAAATGAAGCAAAGGTTGACTTAATAAATGTATTCTGGTGCCAAAATTCTTCGTGTGGAGAAAAGGCAGTTCATATTAATGCAGTCAGTTGTGGTTCAACTCCCAAGAAACAAACTTGATTCTGCTGAAAGACTTCAATGCAGTTTCATAATACCATTTTATTTTGCAATAAGTGTTACAGCAAAACCTGCAAGGGCCAATCAACAAGCTTTTTATTCCTTCTTGATGAAAAGTTGGGGGCGGGGTTTTCAGCGATACAACAAACAAAACACTGCGGTTTGAGGCTCAAGATTCAAGTCCATTTCCCAAGCGGAAAAACTACAAACGCAGCATCGAACCTGGAACTTCATGTTCCTCTTACTTCTGAACTTAATGACAACTGTGTAAGATTTTGAGTACTCATCGCCCTGATGGTGAAGGCAGCAAGGACCTCTGAAACGTCGGTAAACTTCAACCAGACTACACGGCGGAACAACCCAGAAGCCAGAAATCTTCATACTCATCGCCCTGATGATGGAGGCAGTATGACCTCTGAAACGTTAGTTAACATCGACCAGACTACACGGCGCAACAACCCAGAAGACGGAAATCTTCAGACTCACCGCCGTCGAAACCTCAAACCTTACACATAAATGATTGCAATCTCCTCGGAAATTACACAAGAAAACGAGAGGATAGATTAAAAAACGAACGCCATATTACATTAAATTTGTTTTTGGTCCCGTTTATGATTTTGAACGCTACAAAGAGGTTCTATTTTGCTATTCAAATTATAATATTAAAGTCCTTTATATCTGAAATCACCGATGAAACTGCTGAAGTTATCGAGTTAATGAAAAATTTATATGACATCTTGTTTCAATTTTTTTTTGTCGTAAAGAATTCATAAAGTGAGTGATTCAAAGGGGGAACACGCCCTCTACAAAACACGAAGCTCTTCAGCCCATCAAAGTCTTGATCAGACTGCGAACATGAATCTTCAGCGCGGTGTGCAAATATCACGGCTGGGATGGATCATAGAACAGAATGTTCAGCCGAGTGTATTTTTTAAAGTAATTTGTAATGGTAAGGTTTTATAGTGAACCTCATCACGAGCACTCTGCGACATTGTAATGTAACAGACTAGGACAGTCTAAACCCCAATTTTACCGTCGTATAGACAGGTACAAAATTACTGTAAGCAAACAACTTCGTCATAAGTAATTAACTGAACCACCTAAAGTGTTATAAACGTCAGTGTAATGCCACGCATTTTATTAGTGTTCAAAGCCACGACACCAATGAGATACATTAAGTCATAACAAAGTACCGAACATAAACTTCAGTACTTAAAAGAAAAGTCACTGTAATTAAGTCTACATTTTTTTTTGGTATAGTCTGAGCGGTTGCTTATGGAACAAAAGATTCATCCTCTCATTTTGCCATGCGATTGCAAATGGAGACATGAACGGGGAAAAGTTGTGAATCCAGGTGAGATTACTTCGGTGATTTTCATAACCCTGGTGGTGGAAGCGGCAGGTACCCTTACAATACAACACGGCGCAATAACCCAGAAGTCAGCCATCATCAGATATAAACGCACTTTTTTGGGAACAGACCTTATTTATTTATTTATTTAGTGTTCTGTCTGACGACAGGTCCATATGAACAGGATCCTTCCATCCTTTTCTCTTCTCGGACTGGGACCTGTTCATATACGTTCTTGGCAGATGATCCAGAAGTGGTTTGCCATTGCCTTCTTCTGTGTGTGAATGGAGTAATTGTTGGGATGCCACGGAGGAAAACTCCGTGTTGCCTAGACCACGGCCTTGCCCAACACAAGTTATAAATTCGGGCACCGCCGGGAATCGAACCCGAGACCCCAGGATTACAAGGCCAGCGTTCTAACCGCTAGCCCACCGTGGCGGTGAACAGACCTTAAGGCATATAAATATAGCGATATAAATGTTGTTTTTTTAGTGTAAGGACATTACTCGCAAAGATAAATTACTCTTAAGAGTCTGCATAATGCGAATATAAACTGAACTCATTTGGAGCGAAGACTACGGAGCTAAGTCCCGGGAGGAAATTCGTCAGTGTCAACAGATCTTTATGCCCGATGACTTCAGTCAGACGAATTAAAATGTTATCGCACGTAAGCGATGAGTCAGCACAGGCTTGGAGATAGAAAATGAACGAGCCGGAGGACTTGTCCTAGAAAATGTCTTCCTTTACTGACAAGTTAATTAATTTGTTGCTTTTCTTGACATCAATTATGGCTTTTTGCAACAAGGGAACAACTACACTGTACTTAATTTCATTTACTTATAGTATAAAGAAAGTAATAATTATTAATAATAATAATATGGAGTATTAAAAATATTGATTACGTGGGGTGTGTCCATATAAGACACTGCAATGTTCGGAAATTTCAAATCAAGATTTTTTAATTTACTAAAAACTACTGCCTGTGGTCCTTTCGACTGGAACGCTGTGTAGTATCACTGACGTTTCGGTGAAAGGTTTAATATCCATATTTTGTCTTCGCATTAATTATGGAGTTATTTCCTTTTACAGAAAAGCTTTTTTTAAGCACTGTGGATATGAGACACTTTCTGATTTCTAAGAATCTGAAAATTAAAGTATACAAAACAATAATCTTGCCTGTTGTTTTGTATGGGTGCGAAATATGGTCTCTCACTCAGAGGGAGGAACACAGATTGCAGGTGTTTGAGAATCGGGTGTTGAGGAGGATATTTGGGCCTAAGAGGGAAGACGATGGGGCGTGGAGAAAACTGCACAATGACGAGCTTAAAAATCTGTACTCCTCCCCCAGTGTTGTCAGGGTGATTAAGTCGAGAAGAGTGAGATGGGCGGGACATGTAGCGCGCATGGATGGGACAAGAGGTGTGGAAGCCTGAGGGGAAGAGACCTCTGGGGAGACCTAGACGTAGATGGGAGGATAATCTCAGGCGGGATCTGTGGGAGATAGGAGTTGAAGGAGACTGGATTTTGTTGGCCCAGGACAGGGTCCGGTGGAGGGCTTTGGTTAATTCGGTGATGAACCTTCGGGTTCGGTAAGCCATCTGGTTATTTAGGTCGTGCAGTCTTTTAAATTTTTCAAGTCTACGTGCTATTTACTGAGATAGGTGCGTAATAATATCACTGAATTCCTACATTTTTGGCTGCAGTAAGTACTGCATAGCAAACATAACTAGAAATCCAAATAAATGCACCAAACATACATATATTACATTCCTGTGTAAAGTCGGCTAATACTAACTATATATATATATATAACAAAATCGCGCTCCAACATAATAGAAAGTAACACTACGGATTTGTGTCCAGAAGGAGACCAACGAACGTACGTCGTCAGGTTAATTAATTATCTTTATTAAAGTGTTTCCAGTGTTTTCTCAGTCTCCGAAACGAATGTGGAAGGGTGTTACTGTCTCCTTCCAAAACCATACCAGCTCAGAATTTACGAACATCTGCAAACCTCAAGGAGACAAAAGAGAATCTATTAAAAGTGTGAGATTTGACCGCGTGCCTCAAAGGTGGCCTTCCACTTGGGAGAACACAATCCACTAATGCGAACTAATAATTAAACGAAAATTTTCTGAAATTCTTTTCAAACGCAGATTCAAATGGCACGCAGCCAGCAGAGAAGAAACGATGACCGCCTACTAGAAAGCTGCGCTGTGTAGTCTCACAGAAATTCATCGACGTTTCAGAGGTGCTTACACGGCTGAACGTCCCACAAGACGATAACATATTCCCCGCCGTGAAATCGTAATATATAAAAAAAATTCTAGGCAGCGAAATTTAATATCAGAGCGACAATCATAACAGAAGGTCGTTGCAATCGCTACGAAGTGACAGCTTTACACTTTCCAATTCAGAGAATCACGATAAAAAGGCCACAGAGATATAAAAGAATCATCACTGAGGAAATTTTAACACTTGAGCAAAGAATTTCGTATCTTCTTTGAATTTCATATAGCACTGTTCTCGAAATGTTCTACACGAGTGGATTCTCTGGCCTATAGTTCAAGTTGTAGGCTCACAACTCGCTCGAGGCCCTTCGGCCCCGCAGTCTGTTTGACCGCCCTTGGGCCAGCGTGAAGGTCCAGCCCTGAAAAACGAACCGAGGGCAACTCGCATACAGCCCGAGGAAGATACAGTGAAAACATATAGAAAAACGCCTTCCCGACTTAAGGCTGGATATACGTCTAGATACATTTCTAAAAAATAGTTTTCGGACAACGAAGAATCTGTTGATAATACAACGCATATTAAGACTAGTTAAAACTATGGTTTAACTATGTAGTAAAAGAAATTACTTCCAAAACTTTACACCCACTCAGAAACCTCCATTTCAAAGCTACTTAAACTGTGCGGTTTGATTCATATTAATTTAATAAACGAAAAGAAAACGTCAATACATTCGCATTGCACTGTTGTCCTATGGTGAAGATATGTGTGGCATGGTGAGAAATGTTAGCGAGAATCTGTGACTCTTCAATTTTAATTTCGCACATCCTGCCATCTGGGGGGGAGTTAAGGGAAGCATTCAACCGAAGATGCAATTAAGTCC